TGTAGTCAAGCTTAATTATTGCTTGCACAAATGTTCTATTAAAAATCGTCACTTCAGTTGATTCAATTACCAATGATGAAACTATAATACGGTAAACAATCAGGGGATCGGATGATCAGAAGTTGTTCCATGGTCCAAATGAAATGCTAAATTGGTTGGTAAAAAATAGGCTATCATCTAACATGGATAGCTGCCAAAGTGCTCAGATATACCAGTGACAGACCTACGCTGGAGAACACAACATAAAGACTCCAGCCTAGGAATACGATCTGGGTGTAATTGTACAGAACGACTCCGGCGGTTCTCAGCAGTCCGAACATGCGTTCAAAAGGAAATTGCGAGCTAGAGATCTCTCCCACGTTTGCTGATGGAATCCACAATTGTGGTATTCGATTCTTACAAACTCGGCGAAAGGGAGAACTCGACACCAGAGACAACACAGCTTCCGGTAACAAAGAGAGTGAAATGGCTGCGCCACTTAAAACACGAACAGCGATGGAGATGAGTAGGATGTTTGATGAACGCAACCGGTATGCCGCGGTGGCATATCGCCAGCATCGCACGGTCCCAATCACATTTTTGCATAAGGTAACCTGACAGATGAGAAAGTGGAACTACGTGAGCATTAGGATTGTGCAGACAACTGTTAGACGTTCCCCACTTGAACATTCCTACAAATTCAGCAATCGGTGGCAGCACCTGTTAATTTAGATAGAAAGAGATCAGGTTTCACACCTATCTCACGGTACTTCATTGCGGTATGCTGGAACATCTCTTTTCGGCTTATTCCAAGTGGATTTTGCGAACCATACGAATGCAGGAGGAAGAGTACAAAAGTATGGTGGGCCCGCACGTTGTTCCACATGACGTGAAACAACGCACTGCGTGTAACCCCATTATAAGAGGGTAATTGGTATCTAGTGTGTTATAGACCATAAAAGTAAGGAAAATAAGCTCCCCGTCTCTGCACTGCATATGACCGAAAAATCAAGTGCATGGGTGCTTTATCCGTCATTCGTCCGGCCTCAACACGGAGCTAGCCCAAGTGTCATTAGCCGACGGGAAACGGAGGAGAGTATTTAAGCCACACCCACGCAAACCGTCCAGCTAGCTCGGGCGGCCATGTTGGTTGTGACCAGGTGCTTTATGGGTAGGTTATTTCTAAGAAGAGTAACCAATATGAATTCATCTGCACTAGTGACGCTTTAATCTTTCTTTCACTGATACAGGGAGTGTTTTCATGAGGACAATGAAAATTTGAAGTATACCCCTACCGCGACTTCCGAACACAAGAACACACCACATGCACAACTAATGGCTTAACAGCTTCAGACGATTTCTAACCAATTTTTATACTAATCAGTGGATCATTTATCACATTATAACAGTGTAATGTAGTTAGATTCACTGCATTCAGTCGCATGATATTACGCTTTACTTTATTTCAATAAGCATAAGTGGTGATCCGGAGTCCAATTTTTGTCGGGAGATGTTTCAGTATACAAAACCAGTTGAAGAACACATTCAAAATTATCAAACTAAAGTTTTCTCATTGTAGACCTATGTAAAGCGTTTACTCTCGAGCAAATGCCATGTGCTGAGGATAATCCACAACGCCCCAAACTTGATCCTCCTGACAACAAACATCAAGTATTGCCATCTGAAGGTAGGAAGTGTAATGACCCAAAGGTTACGGATACACACCAAAAGTAGCGATAAAGCACGTTCAACATGTAACCAATCAATGGGACCAGCTATTTAACGTATGCAATGGGATAGATCGAGGTAGGGTGGAAGGAAGTAGCATGAACGTTACCATAAGATGGATGGAAGACCTATGTTAAGTGTCTGTGTACAAAAATCGGGGTTATTTGGGTAGCCAATAGGCAGAATCTGACTGATCGTATGTGGTGTCCAGGTAGGTGGATTGGAAGGCTTCGTATGCGTCTAGTTGGTGATTCGAATCCAACAAGTACGGCAACGTGGGGCTTGTCACGGCTTCCCTCAGAACAATGTAAAGCAGTGAGGGTTGATGTCCTCTAGCTAGTTTTGGAGTTCCCCGCGTTTTGCTTCAATGGATGAGAGCATCCCAATGACTTGATGTTCACTTTAAGCAGGAAACTCTGGTTATTGAGACTGAAGCGGAATAGTAATAACGGATGAAGCCGCCAATAGATTTTAATCGCACTACACACAGTAATATACAGTAGCAAGTAATGAGACTGGACCCTAAATTGATACGATGGTTTAGGCGCATCCAGGATCCGCAGAGCTATGCTAGGTAACCCCTTTCAACTACCACATAGCTAATTCCGCTGTACAGATCAATGTTTATAAACCTAACGAATTCAATCTCAATCACATCCCCAAATGTGATGGAAAGTGGTCAATATGATCTCAGTAAAATACAGCAGTGGCAGGTCACGGTTTAATAAGACAAGCTTACATCACGGGGGCTATGGGTCGCCTCTGGAAGCGGGATGCTATCAATGCTGCTTACTAGTCTCATGGACGCCAGTCAATGAAAAAAGTATGAACCCAGCAGGACTCACCTACAGTTGGCTGTGGTGGCAGATTCGTCCTTAATACGTTTTAGATATAAACCCGCTAGGATTGTACATGATAAGCCTTCTGTGAACTGTCCGTTTCACTCTTCGAGCGGATGCGCCTTTCATGACCTTGGTGGTTAGCCTATTGAGTCATATGAAGCAAGTACCTATCCTCCGTTGTCTTATCATAAGTCTGAAGGTACAGTAACCCTCTGGGAATAGGTAACCAGGAAATAAAATACGCTAACAGAATTCTGTTATTTTTCTTCGTATTTCTTACTCAAATGTTATCATAGTTACGCATCATTGCAGTGCTGCTGGTGTGTTCTAGACCTCATCGTTAGACGAATCCAATGACGGTCTAACGCGTAGAGTAGACACTTACGCAATTCGGACCGATTACGCTGTTAGGAAACTTAGCCGCTGCAGAGGCGATGAACGGAAATCCTAGTGAGTGATGCATTAAAGACAAATGCAACTCTACCAGGGACTAGGGAGAAAAGTTCTTTCTAACGAGCGCTTACATTGACTCAGCGAAAGGTGACACAGGTCGGGACACCTTCTTATTTATGGCACAAATGACTCAATACGCAGAGCATGAGCTTAGGCGAAACAAGTTGATCACAAAAACCTAGCGCGTTGTGGCTTGGAAGTTGCGTGGTTACACTGCGAGCATTGGAGTTTGTGACGCGAGTGCGTATTTTAATGAAATGACATTCTCGTAACACGGTGCTGTTGACGAAATTGAATAGGTGAAGTCAAGAGTAGTCTGCGCCCTGTTGCAGGGTGTCGTTAACAAATTCACATTTTGTCAAGTGATCGGCGCTATAGCAGCAGAAACAACAACGTTAGACGTAGGAAACCTTAAAGGTTATCTTGTTAACCCGATAAAAACAGCCTTATTAGACTGATCTTAGCGTACTGCGTGGCTATATAATGAGAGTGGAGGCACGAAAAAAAACCTTGCTTCCCCGAAATCTTTATACAACGGCTCCAACAGCCAAAAAATGATACATAGCAAGCAATCGCCCAAGTTAGCTATGACAAATAAAGTTCTGAAGAACTATGCCCCTCCCTCAGCTGTGTGATGGGAAGAGCATAGATTACTGTCCTGTCTGCCTCATTCAAAAATAAAAATTAACAGGTTTAATGCTTGTCCTTCAGACACCGCATGGATTAGGAATTATAAGCTACTAGCGGCTTCGAAAAGCGCAAACTGGTATGAAGTAAAGGACACCCGGGTCAGCGCGTTGTGCCACTAGTAAAACCATGAGAACAAGTAGCATGTTTAGCCAATGTAGCAAGGCAGAGAAAACCAGCATGAATTACTGTTGTGAACTACTAACAAAACGGTAGTAGTGTCACACGGAACGTACAAACGTACCACAAGCGCACAGCGTTACCTGTGGCGAGTAACTGGGCATAGCGAGCACATAATTTACGGGTTCCTGTAATGTGCCAGCAAGTAGTTTAAATTTTAGTTAACGTAGTGTACGCCTGTCTTGTAGTATTACCTCTCAAGCTCTGTCCACCTTACATAGGTGTACGCAAGATTAAGCGAACAAGTAACAAGGAGACGTAAGGTACAAAAACAAATCAGGGCGAAGCGCTGGGAATATTCCGAATGGATGGATAATAACTGTATGATCAGAGAAGTACACAATGGACAAATCTGTTGGTTGGATAGAGCACTTAACTGTTCCCTAACGTCTAAAGCACCAATGAGCCATGGATTGATAGTGTTATGCAGATGCACGGATAGGAAACACTCGTCAAGGAAAAAGGGACAATGTCAACGTTGCTCGGCCATTACGCTGAGCCCCGCCAGTGATTGTGATATCATCCAAGCTGTCCAGTGAAGTAAAGTCAAGCTGTAACTTGAGCGCAGTATTTCTGAGCTGTCAGTTGCGGTTTGGGCTACTAGGTTACCACCAAGCAATGTACCCAACGGTAGTGACAATGTTTGTGATGAGTAGTATCGGTTCAATTATTTCCACACGAGGAATCCAAGTGAGAACGAGAGATTGGACGGATCGAGTGGCACTGTGCGTTCTAAATTCGAGGTTACATCTGTTAATATAAGTGTAGCTTGCTTTAAAGTAAATCATAGCCACAACTGAGGTAAGGCATACTGTGCGTCAAAGGTATTTTCCAAGTGTTGATCGCTAGGAACGACCAGTTTTACCATCATTAGGTAGAGACAGCAAGGTTGAGAACACCAATCCGTTTGTGACGACGGAATTGGCTGGGATCGACTATAAAACGAATCGCGGTCCAGATTAGGAGTACGTGTCACAAACCATATACACGAGTGCGTCAGAATGACCCCTAAGCACTTCACAATGGTCCCGATGACAGCGTGGTGAGAGAAAAAAGCATACAGGAGGGCTGGACACACGGTCAGATGAAGTCTCCAAAAGCATTAGTATGAAAATTAAAAGAAAGGGTATTGTGCAACTAGATATTTACTGCTGAATGACGGAACAAACCATGCTAACCAAGGCAACAAAACGCATGAACAACCGAGACGACGCTTTCGGGATCGCGCGGAGAGGAAAGCGGATCCATGGGGATGCTCAAAGCGAGGTTCGACCATTGCATGTGCATAATCGCAAGGAAAGTATAAAAAGAAAACGTGACGTAATAGAAGTGCCAAGTGAAACACAAGCGAGCGAGAGATAAGAGCGGCGAAAATAGGATCCTTGATGTCTGAAGTGGAAACCCGAATCACAAAATGTTCTAGTTTAGCGAATCGACGTTGTATTAGTGTGAGCTAATGGAATAGCGGTAGTGATGCTTGAGTGATTGAAGCGAATTGAGCGCGAGTTTGACAGCTCACGATGTTACTTCAAAGTGAGTCACTGGCAAAAGCGAGTGTCGTGGTACGAATGGTAAACAGGAGTGGACCAAAAAGCCTGAGACAAAGCGCGGTAGCGTGCTGGAATGTAGATACAAATCAAAGGTGAATTCAATCGATTGGGTAGGGGAGTGTGGGCAGAAGAGAAGCGCCAAAGTGGAAGGTAAGAAGGTCAATCCCGGGAGAACAAGATGCACGAAATGATGGAAGCAAGTTGTTTCCGCAGTGGAGAAATAGGCTTGTAGTCCAGGGTCAATTAATATCTGACAAGAGAGAAACAGAGTAGACGGTGAGGCAGACGATAGAATGTAAATATAAAAGTTAATCAAAGTTACATGACGAGTGTTTAGCAGGTCAGCTCCACTGAGCAATACATTCTATATGGTGTAGCCAGGCATGATCGTAACGGTCGCTCACTTCAGTCCAAGGTAAGTTAGCAGTCACAGTAATATTGGTTTACATAAACGAGGAAGTGTAATGTTGCGTTTACCGAGGACATACAGTAGTAACTCTCACAATGGTCGTTTGATGAGCTGGTTGAGACAATACCAACAATTGCTGCCTCGACAGTGATTCATGGTGGATAACAGTAGGTTGGTTATTGTGACAACGTAGAACGTTACCTTGGTTGCCCCCAGTACTTCAGACCGAAAGGATGTGTGCATTCCTCGCAAACGTGACTGTGAATAAGCATGGTTTATTCCACAGCTAGGTGGTCAGACAACCGCGGACAATCAACGGCAACCTCAGGATAACGGAAAAATCAACTGGTACCCATTTAAGAGATAAGATAGCTCGCATGACACCGCTTCAAGGCCAAGGTGAGGAGCAATCTGCATCATCATTACACACGTTGGATAGAGGAGGAAAAAGCTTCAGCTACTGTGACGCAATACAAGGAAAGGAAAGAGACGAGTTGAAAAAGAACACTATGCTTGGTTTTTTGGTACGCGTGCGCAGTTAGATCGTAGTTGCAAGGAGGCTAATCAGGAAAAGACAAATAAATTCGTAACAAAAAGCCACAGGATCGGTTCCTGTCAATGTTAACGTGTTCATCATCTTTCGGGCCCCAATCAGGGAGTCTGGAGGCCCCCATAGAGGCTAAAATTCAAGTCAGAAACTAATGACTGCCGCCATTCACACGCAGGAAGTACAAAACAAGGCATGTCCCAGGAGTCGGTGTAATGACATCACATGATATAGCCACCGGTCTTGTGTGTGAAATGAAGATGCTATGTGGTCCAATTCCTCTTCCCGCACTATAAACAAGAATCTCGACAAGCCCAATATTCAAGCGATGTCCTCGCAAGTTACGAGTTAATCAGCGAACGCAGTGGTGGTCGAACGCAACTAGCCTCTTTTTGTCTGTCAATCTGATGGAACATATCTCGCAACTGTATATGAGGGTTAAACGGGTGGCAGCAAGGTAAACCCTGTCCTTTAGAGAGGGTAATTTATGAATATGGTAACAAACCACTCAGTTGTGTAACAAGAGATGAAAACACGACGGAGAATGGATGGCCAAGCTTAGTGGCAACCGATTTCCGTATAAAATTGTCATTTGGGCACAAAGATTGTAGATGAGCTAAGTGGCTTCTAGCGGTCTACCGATATAACAGTTTATGTACACTATACACACATTTTGGTATCCGAGCTTCGAAGCAATGATTCACAGAGAGACCTAATTAGTCTGGCACTATTGAAAAGATGCATGGTTGAGACCTTTGATTAACAATTGTCGACTATGTGCTTTAAGGACTGAGTTCTGAGAATTAAAGACTCCAAATTAGATCGTGGAAATCAGACCCCTTCCACTGATTGGGTAGCCATAAAGTGGCATATGCACATAATACACCGATGAAGGAAATAACAAGCTAAGGTTTTGATCGGTTCTCCGAGCTGAGTAATTTAATGGCAAACGTTTCACCTCTTCGCTTAGTGGTATCTTCAGTGTACTGCTGCGTAGAGGAAAATCTTTACTAAGCAGTGCACTGAAGGTGCCACTGAGCGAAGTGGTGAAACGTTTGTCATGAACTTCCCCAGCTCGGAGAACCAATCAAAACGTTAACTACAAACTCGAGCTACAGGTATTCCGATTGACTGTAAGTACCAAGCTACATTATCCCATCTTCAAGTTTCAGAAATGTTGGCTTAATCGACAATGGTTTGTGCTGTTGGTGAACTATGGAATTAATTGTCAAGAGCACAGTGACCAGAAGAATAAGAATAAACAAAAGCAAGTTGAGGGGAGAAGGAGAACGTAAATACGAAGGCAAAAGTTAGAAAATAAATTAAAAAGTAATAAAGATTAAGGATCAACAAACTGAGATTGCAGAGGAATTACGCAAAGTCACTGGCCTCTGGATAACACCCTCTTCCAACAGCCCGATTAAATGTCTCAGTCAGTTTCTTTATATGTGGTCACACCATCGATTAAGACCAAATACAACTCAGATATGCACAGCGTGAACAAGAAAAATACACCAAGGTGGCAATAGGCGAAAAGTGTCAGCAGTAGACCAACATGCTGTAATGACGCTTCGCTGCCACGAGATCGCAAGACGTGTGCGAAGTGGAATAATGCCCAGGCGTCCAAGCACAACAGGGGCGAGTCAAAGTTGTACGGGTTCAAAAAATGATCAAGTGCAGTGCTAGTCGTCGAACATCACCTGGTAAACATAAGTGAAGTTTACTCGGTGCCCAGTTCAAAGCAGTATAATTAGTCTTATACATTGATCTAGAAAACTAAACTGATCATCGTCACATAGTACTAGCCGGTGTGTCTCATGGATGAATTATCACCAGACACAAAAAACACACCTCAGACAACGACGACCAAGAGCTTAAATGCAACTCTCAGAAAGAAGAGACGTGTCTTAGTGATGGGGGGAAGGACACCCAGGACAATCTAAGTGTATGATAGGCAAGAGTAAGAGGAAGTAAGTTTAAGCGTTAAACGTGTTCATAATGGCGGCAATAACTTATGAAATACGTGATCTAATCACAGCAGTCAGAAGACCGTCGATGCCAAAATGAACGAATTGAATAACTATATCTAGTTCCTCGTCGTCAAGTGTCAAAAAGCTAGCAAGTAGCCACTGGTCCCGAGACAGTAGTTTTGAAGTTAGGAGGTGAAAATGCAATCCAAATAATGAAACCATTCCGGTTTGTTGGAGGCTGATCTTGTCAAACAGCAATACGACGTCTTCCGAAGCAACAGACTGCACTGGATATCCAGAGGAATCAGGTGGAAACGAGAAAATCAGAAAACCAGGACGAACGAAACTAGCTGCCGCGAGGGATGTCTATAATTCGTCGTAGACTTTGATGGGGCTTCATGTCCTCCAGTACAGAGCGTGCAAAATGATCATTGGAACATCTTTGCGGGTAAATATTTCTAAATATAGCGGAGCGATCGATTGGGTTAAATGAACTATTCATGACAGCGAAGAGTTATGGTTGGTTTGTGGTACGGGTAACGCCCTGTATAAGCTACAACAAACAGAGCTGCTCAGGCTAAATCTTAGTACTCATCTTCGACGTAAGTGACAACTTGGGGTATTATGGAAAAGAAAAACTATGAGACTAGTAGTGTGCAGCTGCTTTCGGGTGAATAGCATCGTGAATTGAAATACGTAGACAATGTCGCCGAAACTTGTAGCTCCACGAAGGCTGTCGAAATATGCTGCACAGGTTAGAGTCCGTAACAAAGTTTGGAGTAAATTCGTAAAATGTGAATGCAACATAGTCCAGGAAGATAAGCCAAAATCTGCTCCTACTACCATCCTTCTGGAGTACGTGTTAGTGAGCCAGGGATGCGCGCATACTCAAACAGTTTACTTAGTCTGGGTGGTAGGACGAATGAGATTTGTTCGTGCATCTCTAAGCCTATTTGAAATTGCTAACCGCCACCTTTGGTGTTGATGTGACCTCAACTTCTTTGAATGGTCGGGTTTACATTACCAAGACGGGAGAAATTGCACAATTGGTGGCAATTAAATTAATTCTTGTTTACCGAATGTGTAGGTGGATAAAATCAGAACGGAGGGATCAGTGAAGAGAAATGTGGTGTCAGATTAGCAGTGCAGTTGATCCGGTACGTCTACTAGGACATTACAAAGAGGTGGCACACTTGCGTCGTACGCCAGTCACAGCATCCGATTAAGAAGCGTCTGAATGACATGAGAAAACGAAGAGGAGGGGAAGCCAATCGATGACCTAGTCAAGAAGTGTGAAAACCCTTACCTGGTTGGCGCTTCCCGAATGCCGAGCTGGGGTCGGAAGAAAGATGTACACGCTTGGTTAAACATACTTGTTGACATGGCGAAGTGCTCACATCAATGGCGTTTGTTGTGAGTATTTTTGTCTCTTCCCCCATCCCCCTTACCTGTTTCCTTCAACCACGATCTCACACTCGACGCGTAATATTACTTGTTTTTTATTTTTATTTTGTATGCTGTAATGCTTTGTATCTTATTTTTTCGTAGATCTTACTGTTTTGTTTTGCAGCACAATAGCTGAAGTGTTTCTCACCTGCAATTAACGTGATGATGATGAGAGAAAACAACCAATCTATGCCACACACGACAAGCAAGTGCTAGTGATCGCATCGCATCTGCGAGAAGCAGGTGCATTGACCTTAAACGGTTGCTCGATGCACTCGATCCCTACCACTTCATTTCATTCGAAACTCTTATTCGCAGCATTATACGTTATAATTTAAAGCTGCATGTCAGGGAAGCATCGGTAGAATCACCTATGAGGGCGTTGACGATTTCTACCACTGGATAGGCACGGGAGTGATGTGGAGCACTCCAAGGAACAAGCAGATAAACAGCCATAAACCCACCCTACTGTACGTCAACTGCACCATAACTCACCGATAATTGCTAGGTTTGTAGGGTCCGGTCTTACTGACACCCAAATATTTGGCTTGCTCGTCAGTGAGCTCCGTCAAACGAGCATTGAACAAAGGCAGATGGAGCGTAGCGACGTATTCGTCTGAAAAAGAGAAAGGTGGGGCACAGGGCGAATATTTGGTGTAACTGGAAAATGAGAGGGAAAGAAGGCGTCAACCACAATCGAAATACACTCGACACTAAGTTTACCTGAGTCGGGGCGCATGGAGGACGCATATGAGTGATGGCTTGCATGCTACTTTGCCACACCGGTTCACAGCCAGTTGGAGCATGGAAGTGCAGGTTAAACCCACAGAGGGAATAACCCGCATGGAAGGTCCGCTGGGGACGGTTCCATGGATGACCGTATTACTTTACTAGAACCTTGACTAAATCTGCGGTTGTCATTGTTCCCAGTTTCTTACTCTCTCTAATACTATCAAACTGTCATTCACTTCAGAAACGCATTTGGGATCCGCTGTACAAAACATGAAAAATCAATTATTTTGTGCGATCTCGTTGTACAGATTGATCAGGCCACTCAATTGGACTGTGCCTCACACCGTCAAGGAATATCGTTTAGTAACGCTTTCGCATGAGACACAATGCGTTGCATAACCTAGCGCGCGAGACCCTAATTTACCGTTAAGCAGCGGATGAATTCGGATCAGGACTATCCAGAGAGGCATTCAAAAGTAGGAATGGAAGTGTAGAATGGATAAGTAATTATGAGCTACAATAACATGAAGCAAAATTGAAGGACAAGCGTACAGGTGGCCAAAGGAGACCAAAATGAACTGATTCTGTGGTTGAAGAAACATGGTAGACAGCCAATCGCTAACAGGATGTTGGTGCGTCACACAGGAAGGCGGGTTATGCAGACAGAAAACAATGACATTTGTTCCCACTCCACACATAAAATGGAAACTAGTCGAAAGAGTAGGCGATACAACTGAACGATGACGCTTTGCCAGAAATCCGAAGGAATCGGATGTCTTTAGATAAAAGTAATGTATTAGTAAATAAGACCATTGCAAACAACGCAACATAAACAAGCTCACCCATCTTTTTTGGCAACAGATAAACATCATTCCGGTAGCGACCAGCAGGAGCGTTGTACAGTTCAATAATTGCAAGAGCCTAAGGATGAGCGGAGAGGAAAACATTTGGTGGTTGGCGTTAAGATTAATCAGGTGGTGAAGGGGAATGGAGACGGTAGATACAGAAATAGAGTCAGTGACGTTGAGCACAATTCTTGTATGCCGGTGAAAACACACGAACACCTAAGGAAACTGGAAGAGGAACATGGTGTTGCTTAGCGGACAGACGAGAATATAAAAGAAAATCAGAAAACCAAATGAGCTGGACAAATGCGGATGATAAGCTTCTCTTTTGATCAGTCGCAGCATTCTCACCTATCGTATGGTCACTGGACTGCAGTGAAGTTTCTCGCAACAGAAATATTAGGTTTTGTGCTGTTAAATGGTCGACAGTTATGCGAAACGTGTATGCGGTCAATCACATGGCGTGCAGCCAGTCCACTGGCTATAATTCCGGACAGTAGCTAGATCACGGAGCGCTGTTTACCCAATGGTTCCACCAGTTAGGGGATGTTTCGCAGAAGCATGTGGTCGTGCATAGACAATCTTAACAACTTGAATGAACACTGTTCATAGCACCGATCAATACCATGAAACTGATGGCAACGCAGTGTTGCATGTTTTACCTCGAAGTGACACCCTAGCGCTTCGCCGCCTTCACAGGTGGTCAACGCTGGAAAGGTCAAACAGGTGATTCCGATATCATGTGATTTAAAAACAACTGGTGAGAGCTAGTTGGGCGCATGAAGCGAGTGCCTTAGCCGGTTGGGGCCTAGTTGTGACGAGGAATGGCACTCAGTTAATACGCTGATGCAGACTATTTTGAATAGTTCCGAGGAAAGCGATATTATCAAAATGAAGTAGGTGAAATGGTGTGAAGTCCCGAGAATTCTCGCTGTTGAAGCAGAAGCAAAAGAAGTCACCCGTGAATATCTCAAACAGAAAATTCAACGGATAAGTAACAGTCGCATGTGCCCCTTCCGTACCGAGGGGAGCACAAAGGAGAAACACCCGTGGACTCTTTTGTGAATGCAAGAGACAAAGAATGAAAAACTCCACAGCAGGCATCTCAGCTACAATCAGCATTACGTAGGCAAACTAACCATGTCTCTCACGCTGTGGAAACCGATTATTACAAAGAGATACCTAGTGTTGCTGCTCATTCAGAAGTGAGAGAGTGCAAACAAACGTCAGTCAAAGTAAGCACGCATTAGCGGAATAGAGGAAGAGTGCAGCGCGACGCATGGGATCCGTAGAATTCAGCTCCATATCGCTGTCCTACAGATGAGTGCAATAAAAAAGAAATGTCAAATCGAACGTGTTTCATCAGTCTTCAGATGCCTGACACACAGCGGTCAGTTGAGAGGGAAGTAAACAAATGGGCACTTTGCTACTGCTGCCCTTGCAGCAATAGTTCACCACTTTCGTTTCAGAAAAACTTAGCGAGTAACTGAGTCGGAGCTTAGGTTCTAACAGGATATGATATGTAACGATCTAGCTTATCGGATGGAGACAGTTCCAAATATTACCATCTTTCTGTGGCAAGACATAAGCCCTGATGATGATTGGGTTGAGGTGATAGCGAATGATGAAACGCGTCCTTACCTGCGTGCTTGCGCTCACGGAGACGACGATAGAAGGCACGGTGGAACAACTGAGGTTTGCTAGACGTCCCTGTTTAAGTGAAAAAAGGGGAAATGAGGAACGACACATAGGGATAGGCATATCTAAATTTGAGAATCGAATAATAAGGCAGTTAAGATATAGCTCAGCTGTTTATGCCAACAATGAAGTGGACCACTGTGGTCTCATTTGAAGCCTGGGTTAGAGGTAGTTGAGAAGGACGACCTAACCGAAACACGAGCGGACAATACCTAATGTTCATGTACTTCAGATGCGGCCCCAGTGGTCGTTTCGACCAATGCGAATTGCAGTTCACATTGAGATTGCGCATCGCAATCCATTCATACAAAGGGGGTTTCAAAATGACTCATCTAAGCAGTCATTAACAGTAGTGACAAGCGTTGCTGATCATGACTAGGTGGCTAAAGGGGTAATTTCCGCTGACACCCCAAGGGTCTCGGATTCCAGTTGCAGTCATGCTATCAGCCTGAAAAGTGCGGCCGAGAAGGAAAAGTATCGGAAAAAGCTGATAACATTAACGGCACAGTTGACATTACAGCCGAAGTTCCATCACAGTGCGCATCTTTTCATCGGCCTCGTTCACTAGGCAATCGAATTGAAGCATGGCTTAATAAAGGCAGGTTTCAGGTCCCAAATTTTAGCGAGATGAGAAGCGAATTTCGAAGAAAAGTTTTTAAAGCATAGGGCGCCAAACAAAGATGCTGATAACGAAGTGGATGATACCGCAGTGTTTGCACTACTTTATACGTATTCACGGAATCAGTGAAGTTCAAGCACTAAAAGTTGAGAATTCGTGTTGCAAGAGAGGTTCTATGGCACCAAAATCGAGTAATTTCGGAGGTTGTCTAAGCAATCCCCAGGCAATTGTCGAGTACGGACCTCAGATAAATCTGACGCATGCCACATGGTCATTCTCGGTAATCAAGTGTCCCTCAAGAAATGCAGCAAAGGCAAACAGTAGTAACACTGAATTCACGGGTCCCATGTAAGATGAACCCCGTACAAAAGATTGCTAGCTATGCCTTCGTGGTTGTTTGCGCCCAACAATGCACTTCCTCGTCGAGTACATCGGTATCTGGGAGGTGATTCAAAACAGAATCCGGCAGCATTTTGTGTAGACAAACGCATGTACGGCTAAAATACCAAGCTCCGAGAAAAATCCCGGCTATGGTAGTTAATTCTGATCGTTTTGAGCTGCGTAGTGTTTATGATTGGGAAGACTGGTCTCGCATAGACAGCGAATCATGATATTTTCATAGAACAAGTGAGACAAATGTGATAGTTCAGTAAAGCGTCTGCGATTCACTTTAATTTTAGCCACAAAAGTAGGTGGGGTGCAAATCCGTTGCAATGAAAGACCGTACGTGCAACAGTCACAAGCATGACGATAAGGGTTCTGAAATGAAAATGTAAAAAGTCCGAGGTGATAAAACCCGATATCAAGCAATGGGCTAGTGTAGTCAGTCATATATGACCCAAACAGCCTGCGTAGCCATCTTGATACTAGAAAAAAGCAACGGGAAAAGTCCCATGCGCGTAACAGTTAACAACTGGAAATGATGTGCCAAACACAACAGTGTCATAGAGCTGTCGACTGTGTCATGTCGGAGATGGCCTCCTGAAAGAAGGTCAATGACCAACGACATAGGCTACCCGTTGGTGTGGAGAGGGGGACAAAACAACTGGAATTTAGTTCATTGAAATGGAAAAATGTATGGTCAGAACCGAATACAGCGTCTATGGCTTGGAACCGACCGGAGATACAACTTTCACAAAAGCAGTAGAATTCATAAGTTTGAATAGGACAGCTTCAATCCAGAAGTCACTGAGGAGCATGCCGGCTAGAGTGGCGCAGAATACACTTGTGAAAAGCTGAAAACAGTTGAAGCAGGATGATCGCACTGCAGGTAATATCGAATTACAAGTAGCACTAACTCAGAGAAGAATGTGACAAGACGACTGTCCTTTGTAATTCGCAGGCTACTTTTCAGAAGATGGCCGCGGGCGCGTCGAGAAACGGAAATTCACAAAGATACCGCAGCACAGATTGATTAACTTGGTGATGAATATTCATTTCTCGCTTAAACATCCGCAAACAACATTCTATGTGATAGAATGCGGAAAAATAACTTTACGTAACTCACATCGCATGTAAAGTGTAGTGAATGCCTATTTTAAGAAAGAGATATCGCGGCTTGGCAGCGCCATTAACTCTGACGACGATAAAAGTCGGGCCTTTTCCGGAATGGTGCCCATAGCGCCCAGTAGGCACGATTTAGCCCGCCATCAGATAGTTACCGTGGTAACGGCGTTGCGCATGCCGTTGAGACCAGACTGATGTGAAGAGTAACGTAACATCTATTATGCGACAAAAATTGGAACACCGATGTTAGAGCACAATGTTAAAACGGAATAGAAGCGGCACACGCCACTGAGGTGCAGTAGAGCGGAGCACGAGGAATGGTACAAAGTCGCGTTCAAAGTGAGATCCCTCAGCCTCATTCTAGCGCGCTAAGGAAAGGAGAGGCAAAATGTGTAGTCAAACATGAACACTAGATAACAATATGTACATCTTGACGAGAAGTAGAGAAGTGACTTGGCGAACAGACACGAGAGATCCGGCGAGGAACACAAAGTGTTTGAGCGTTTGAGCTCCAGTAAGGAGCAAGTTCGGAGTAAGTGAAAGAATGGGTGATAATGAAATGAGCGTTAAAAGAGAAAATGATGGTGTGATGGCGTGCGTATCATCGTGTTGAATCAACCTAAACCGAATGGTACGTACAAACAGTTTATATAGTCAGTGCAAGATGGTTGGTTCGTGAGGTGCACATATAAAGATTGTGATCATGTTTCAAGTGAACGCTCTTATAGCGTCTATTCATTAGGTCTCAGGGAGACGCCGAAGTTTAGCACAATCCAACGAGTTCCACTGTCAACACGATAAGGACTACCAAATTTCACTGATGGACAGAATAAGTAAACATAGTGTTGATCTGAATCGTAGCCAATATGTCATAAAGACAGCTAGATTCAGTTGACTGTCCCATAAAAGACGCCTAACAAATAAGTCGATTTCAAAAGGTAGTTTTAAGGAGACTGAAGACGATCATGTGTTGACCGATTTCAGAGCGTGTGCAACGCTTTGAAAAGATATTCGAAACAGGAGTCGTCGAACTGACCGCGAGATTTGGCAGGGGACCGAAAAAACCTAGAGAAAGATAGTGGTGTATGGAGAAGCAGCGAGACAAACGTTTCATGGACTTTGACTCCAGGCTCTGCGTGGTGTTGGGAAGGATTGCATCAATCTAAGTCCAAATAGTCTATGCCTTCGTACAACCTACGCCGATCTCACATTCCAACCATTCCAGCAACCGGAGCAGCGTCAGGTATGCAGACGAATTGATATGATATTTCTCCTAGAGTTGACATCCATGTTTAGTACATACGATCTCACGTTTGTAGTGACGTCTAACTGTGAAAGGAGCATCGGAGAAATGCCCAATTGTGCACTCTCCATACTGCAACAACCGAGGCCGGGTACAGGTGGCAGGAAAGAACCTTCCAAGCTCAGTGGAGTTAGTGAAGTGCATCAGAACTGTTCTCAATAATTCCCTCCAAACAGTTGTGCGAAATGATAATAAGTGACTCCAACTGATCCGTGTCATTTGGAAGGCAACCCCTGTCAGCTGAGCGACGGACAAACATGGAGTGGGCATGTGTGTGTGCGTGTGGTTACAACCATCCGGTCCCGGATTTGTCTGTCACTGTTGCCTCCGTGGGGATAGCTACAAAACACCTGCAGAGGGTAGATGGGTCGTTTGCACTACACCACCCCCAGCTATGTCCACAAACCTCATATCCAGTGTAAGATGTTGTTGACTCGGAAACAGAGGATTATTAAGGATAGATAGATTGGTGGAACAAAGTAGTTGGAAGATGATGCAGTAGAGCCCGGTTTAACGGATACGGCCGCCAGCACCTCGACTGAGGTTAGCAGTTCCGTAGAGCAAAAGGATGTTAAATCGTTGGTCCATCTGTTATGTGGACAGTGCTTCCCGCTTGGCCCGGTTGAAGAAAACAGCTGGCCTTGAAGAACTCGCCAGAAGTCTAAAGACCTAATTTACAAGACAGTGGGGCGATCAACGCACATCGCGAGACGTTGGAGGCCAGCTATTAAAGCAGATAACATGTCTGAGCGGAAACAAACTACTCGGATTGCCCAGGAAAAGCTTCCTGGACAACAGAAATGGAAGCCAGATACGAAGGCCGTTGACATAAAGTGGAATCATACGCCTTCATAGATTCAGCCTAAGCAAAAGCCGGTGGGCATCAGGATAGCTTATCAACCATTCATTGTGTAGTTACTTCTGGTTACAGAAATGAACAAGTGTATCCTCAACCCGAGCTACCAGCGTTCCGAAACATTTTAAACAACAACGGGTATTAAGCCCTCCGTTCTGTTCGCAGTTGGGTGGACTTCGCTTGCAGACAAGCCTCTACAAGACAATGGCTCATTTTTCTTAAGAAATGCCTGAGAAAAGACATTCTTCCTCGCAGTATCAGCTACAGACCGCCGATCAATCATCGTCAAGCGTGTGCTGTCGCTCAACAATTTGGGAGGCGTATTATACGGCTGATGATCACCGACGCTCACAATCGTCTTAAGAAATATGAAGGAGGCATGAACGAACATTGAGCTAACGGCCTTCCCTCGTTGGACAACGGCTAACAGAACAACTAGACGCTGCAATAGAACATCGGACAGCAAACGCAAGGACAACGAAGCATACTGCGCTTCAGGATAAGTTATCAAAATTGACCTCTGCTAGATACAGAAATACTAATGACGGCTGGATTAGTAATTTCTGTAACTGACCAATCAAAGAAGCCGGACAGCAAGTTTTCGTCTTGAGTGGTGCAACAACTACAGACCTTCAAGTAGCATTCGACAGCGCCCAACAATCCAAAGGGTTTGATGAAGAGATTAAGAGGCAAATAAGATATATGACTGTACCCGCTATAACGCGCTCTAAGGAATACCACGCTCTAACCAGACAAGAAAAGGAAGCAATGAAAACCCTGAAGTTTGACGAAACGATCATTATCGTACCGGCTGACAAGGGACGGATGAAGACAATCATTAGTAGATGCTACACTGAGAAGACTATACGCCTTTTGTATGAGACAATAACTTACAGGTGTATCAACAACGATCCAATCTCGCAGCTGACAAACAAAATAAACATAGCTTTGAAAGAGCCTCGGGAATTGAAAATAAGCGCGAAGGAGGAGCGCGACAGAATGAGAGCCAGTGACTCGAATATTGCGCAACTTAACGAACTCCCAAAAGTACACGAAGGTAGTGTACCGTTGCGGCCTACCGTGTGATTCCCTGGAACATGTACTTACAACCTGGTTAATGTAGAGACGCCTCAAACATCTGACCTGTGGGTCACAATACTCCATAATCAGTGCCCAGCAGTTTTACGGAAGCTCAAAGACATGCGAACAGATAATGATGAAATAATGATGTCATCCGATGTGACTGCTCTCTTTAGGTTTGTCAACTTGCAGATGGCAACAGCGGTTATCACAGAACGCCTGAGAAACAGTAAACAAATAACCGGGGATATGGTAACCGAACATGTACCCAAACTATTCCAATTATACTTGTCAACCTACTTTCATTGCATTGGAAAGATCTACGACCAACTGGAAGGGATCCTTTGCGTCAGGATCCGTCACGAAGATGGTCATGCAGAAATTGGGTGAGGATGTACTTCTACTCATCAATCCGAAACTGTGAGTACGGTATGTCGCAGACACTTTTGTGGAAATCAAGCGCAGCTAATTAACATCGACACAAAACCTATTGAGCAATGCCAAGGAAGACATACAATATACAATGGAACTGGAGAATGCAAGCCAACTATCGTCCATGGACGTATTAGTAACCAGAAACATGGAAGGGGAGTTGCAAATATCGGTCTACAGAAAAGACGCATACACAGACCAAATTCCGAGCCTTAACAGCAGCCACCCGAAATGCCACAATGTAAGCTGTGTGTGGACACTGTTGCGCACATCGCAAATATTTTGCAGTACCATGGAAGCAAAGTAAAATGTGGTTTCTTCTTGCTCTTTTGAAAGCCGTAAAGGGAAATGCTTGTAAGAAAACCATCTGTTTAAATGTTTCCAACCCAACAGATACCTGCGAAGTTTCATTCGAAGATGTCTGAATCACAACAACGCAAACAGACAGTCTACACTAAGGACGGAGAGATGGATTGTTTTGACTTATATGAAGAACACATCGGAAATAGCGACCAGACTAATCACATAACAGTATCTCATCGTAGCACATAAACCAACTGCTACGTTGTGAAAAGCCCTGTCAAAACCAACAGTAAAACTGGAGACGCATGGACGACGGAATGTAGTATACAAACTACGTTGCGGAAATTCACGACAGGCACACGACCAGCCGTCTGTCTAGGATACCGCAATACTGACTTGCTTCTCTACAACATGGCACGGGTAAGAATATTCACAGCACTATCGTTGAGCATCTGATTACTACTGGGCATCAGATACGAACTGAGGACGGAGTTAAAATCATCTGCACTGTGTCGAAGTGCATCCCCAAGGAACTCAGAAAGCGCGTGCTGGCAACTACCGAAGCAATGGCGAGCAGGCTAGTACAACCTGAGTTATGCAAACAAACGATGCTAATACAAACTCAGGATTCTGTCCGTATCTGACAGAAACCCCGGCCAAACTGTTAACTTGGTTTCTCATCAGCATTCTGCGTTCTTACTTCGCTGAACTTTCATGTGCATATGTGCAACGCGGTGTCTCAACTTCTACCACCTGAATTTATTGACAGAATTACTGAAAGGCTTCAGTGACCCAATTTTGGACTTGATGTAACCACTATCAACACAGCTCTATTTAGCTTCCCTGTTTACTTAATTTTCCTCATAAATGTAAATGTCTAACGACAATTATCCAGAAGAGATAACACTTCGCAAGCCTCCTTCTAATGTATAAATGGGCATAATACATGATTTAAAGGAAAGGAATATGTTGACCAAACAGCAAGAAAATTGGCAAATAGGATACTTAAACAAAAAGTGCTTGCGAAAGACATGAATCGTCCCTCGTTTCAGTGCATGCTGATGAAGAAGGATACAAGTTTGATTGCGCCAAAACAGAAGTCCTGGTACGAGGCGAAATAAGAAAAGAAAGGGAGTTCCTGGTTCTCCACAAAGAAAGCAAACAATGTGCGTATTGATATCGACTCATTCAGCCAACCGAACCGACAGAAAGAAATCGGAAGGATTCTGAGACGACGCTTAAACCCAAAACAACTCGAGCGCCGACTTCGGCCGCGAGGAAATGGATAAAGATCACGGGACGCAAATGGGAGCTGTCACCTTCAAAACTCACCTGAACGTCGATCATGGAACAATGATTCAAGCACCAAGATTGCATATCACTACACTGACGATGTCACCTGGTATGGTGGCGAAACGATTGCAACCAAACTGCCAAGCTCGGCGAACAAATGAACAACTGAGTCGTTCACTCGAGTCATAAGTATTGTGGAATTTTTAATAACAAATGATCGCTCCCACTTATGGGGCAGTGTACTGTCTCTCGGTAAATATACAAATTTACTTATTTGGTTATGTGTCTACCGAGCGATGTTGGGTACACAAGACTATATATATATATATATATATATATATATATATATATATATATATATATATATATATATATATATCTGTATTGGTAAATTTAAAAAACAAAGTGTAAAACAAAAAGGAAAGACAAAAATGAGAGATTTCGCACCGGATGTATGTCAGACCCACAACAAAGCTAACAAAATAAACGCAAGGGAAAAAAGAAATGAAACAAGTTAAAAATCAGTAGGTACAATGATCGCTTACCTCTGCAATGAGAACGATTCGCTTTCCATCCATCCAGATTATATGGTCTACCTGGGACCGGACACGCTCCCAAGTAAGATCAGGTGTTTGTAAAGACCGCTGGGTGAAAGTGAAGAATCAAATGGTACAGTTAGAGACACGTGCGAAATGTGACGAGTGGAGAAGTACGGGCTTTCCAGACGCTTTCCCATTTGCTAAAGAGCAGTGTGGGTGGGATCCAAAGGTAATTATTGTTGCGAAATAAATACAAGACTAAAAGTTATGAGCCACATCAAGCGGCATATTGACCGAGAAAGATGAGCAAATACTTCAGTATACTGCTTCAGAGATGAATGGGTGCCATAACACGTAAAAGACAAAAGTATAGCCGTTTCGCGATGCAGATGTAATACGTGATGCAAAGTAATTGGAAATTAGCGGTGTCAAAAGTTCCTTATTGCGCGATATGGGTGATTTTCGGAATAGTCTGGTGAGCACTATGGCTATAAAGTTAGCCTCAAGTCAGGTCAGTGTCTAAGAACGGAGTAGGCCTTCGTCTAACGAGCATTCGGTTTCCTATGCCGGGACTTCGAGGTTCAAAGTTTTTCACTACTGGGAAGACAAAAAAAGTAAAAGCAACATCTCATAACTTCATGAAACCATGCTTGACATCCTATCGACCTCGGGCTATTTGGTACTAGTTGGTAGCCACTAATTTCAGTGCGAATCGAGAAAAAGAAATGGACCAAATCATCTCTAGGCTTCTTTTAAAGGCTTCTATAGTATTACATTTTATTAGCGCATGGGGAAGTAAATTCCAACTATGTATTAGGCGAATGGTTAACAAATTTCACCGGATATCCAAATGTCGACTCGCATGACTGCGAAGCTAGGTGGGTACATTTCATATTAGCCAGGTCTCAGGCGAAGAGTTAATGAACGCTTGCTGTGTAAGCCATGTCCCCTCAATCTCGGAGTCGATTTGCCATTATTCTAACGCGTGGACGACAACCGATGTACGTGAGTCCGACATGTAGACTCGTCTGAGGATTATGGGAAGCGGTTGAAGAATAGCTCGCCTCATACAGCACACACTCGAAACGACGAATAAGGTGTGCATCGAAGGTAATCGCAGCGTCAGGTGTCCAAAATGACATAATGGAGGAAGACTGATCGACAAGATTGTTGTCCAAGTGGTAACAACTAAGAAGTTTGCGACAAGTACATGAAAAGGCACCATAATGCGGTGGGACGATAAGGAAGATTGAAATGAAAAGATCGAAAATGATGGCGCACTCTGCGACCAGTTAACAATTTTAATGTCTTAAACATGTTAGCTTCTCCTGTTGACTGGTCGATTTTGGGATTTCAAAAAGTATCAAAACCACCAAGTTCGTAAGTACTAGAGTCAAGGCCATCACACTTCAGAGTTGAAAGAATTTTGTACTAAGATGCAGAAGGGAAAGAAGTATGCTGTTTTCTTCCGGACCATGGATTCGAAATACAATGTGAGTCACGTGTGGGAGAGCGAGGTACAGCCTACATCTGATGTATCACGCCATGGGGGGTTTGAAATTAAATGAAGTGTTCTATTCGCATAGTGGCTATGAAAAATGAACGTGAGCAAAAGCACCTGAACCCCAGAGCTGTGGTCAACAGGCGATGAGGTAATAACTATCAAATATGATTCAAAAACGTATCAGATGTGACTTACAACGTCGATCTCTGTGTTCGAGTGACCCATATTGCAAACCACACAACCATTCTTCATGTTGTCCATGTGGGCTCGGGTGACAACCGACTTATTCCCAGTGCATGTGATGACCACATCGATTGATCGGATGACTTCTTCGATTTTCACCACCCGGAAACCATCCATACTGTGACAAGAGAAATAAGGACGACTCGGATGCTCAAAAGTGCGTAACGCAGAAAGAACTAAACGAGGAATGTATAAGATGACAAATAATAAATACAACAGAGGTGATAGAAAATATTTGAGTCGACCGAATTGCAAGTGCTATGGCGTTGTAGCACCCTCAAGTCGGTACGGCTTTCTGGTTGGAAAGGAAGAATCAGTTTTGGCAGACTGGGTCTGGCGAGAAGTAGTTGTTCGTGTTCGGATTAATAAGTCCTATGAGACTGAGTCACTCAAGGTTTGTACCTCGCTGTACAGAGACGTACATAGGCCGCGCACCACTACCTGCGACGCCGAGACTTCCGGAGAAGCAACCTCCAAAGCTTTAGTGAAAGATAACACACGATTCCTGCACCATGGTATTCACAGTACCGTTGACCATGTTATTCGGAGGTGACATAATTGCCACCCGATAACAATATCATTGAGGGAACCACGCACTCGTTGACCTAACAAAAATGTCTCCGACGAGAGACAGGAAGTAATTGCTATCCGGTAACGTAATCGCAATGTGTAATCGTCACAAGACAATAGTTTGGTGAAAGTGAACTGAAGAAAAAGGTGTCTGGGGTGAAGTCACTGTGGTCCTGAGGTCTCCAGGAAAGCGCTTTCCTGGATGTGTGGTGGCAGTCTGCCTGAGTCTAACTGCGACGAACCTATAGAAAAACCTTGCAGTCCATCAGTAGTAGCGTAGTGCTTTCTTTCTCCTAGTTATTTTTGTGGAATCTGCAAGTACGGCTTCCGGAATGCCGAATTCTCTAATCTGGCGGTATAGTATGATAACGAGGCTGACCAATCACCATTCCGGTTCCATTAAGGGCCGTACCGCTCAGTGGGAGTGAGACTTCGTCTCTTCAGTATGAGAATCTGAAGCGTATTCAAGTCTATGATTATCGCTGCCTACGGATCACTGCTGGTGTCGGATGGCACTAACGTATTCGTAAAGATGAGATATGTAGGTGAGTGCTAGGTAGTGATAATCAGGCAAGTCCCTTAGAACAACAGATAGCACGGAATAAGTTGCGGTGGTGTGGGCACTTCATACCTATGACTGGTCACTGCTTACCGAGGAGGGCGGTGTTTTGTTTGTCAGGTTCTGAGTGACGCAAAGCTTGAGGTGGGCAAAAATTAAACTGTCAGCGGTAAATGAAGGCCCTGGCGAATAAACTGGTTGATGTTGTTCTGTCTCGCCTTCCAGACTGGAGTTCACGTGACCCAAGCTGCGCTCGGATGGAAACATTACAGGACATTACTCGAAGTTGGTATCAATGGGATGTCTGCTGTTTTCTCATGGTCGGACTGCCTGTTTAAAATGTGTTCTGCGCTGAGCGGTCTGTGATGCAGTGGCTGAGTATGACGCAGGGAAGTGAAAGCCGTCTTACTTTAGCACCATAACCAGCTGCTTGAAACCTTACGTGGTTGACAAGGTGCAAGCTTTGTGACGCTGATTGTATGCTTAGAATAGTAAACCTTAGCGCTAGTTTCCCTTCTCTCCCTTAGTTCACTGCGGTTGTACGGTAGTGAAGCATCAGTCCAAATGATTAGTCTGCTGCTACTGATGCTATGCAAAGTAAATCAGCTAACCAATGTGTGAACATCTTCACTGAAGTAGGCAAGAGACAATTGGTGTGTGTGAAGCACTTACGGAACAAACTCTTCCACACGAGATAACTTAGTTTGCCCGAACCCAACGTAAACGTACTCGAACAGGAGGTGCTGGTAAAGTGGATGATCGCAGATCCGAGAATACCGAGCAATTAGTAAGAATATCAAAAAAGTTTCCCATACCGAATAGGAGCCGGATGTTGACGGATGCACAGTTCAAGCGGGCAGTACACTGTGTAGCAGTTTCAATTGAGCAGAAGTAAATCTGCCTAATCGGAAAACGAAAGGCATTAGATCCAACGACTTTGCAATAGTGGAACGAAGCGCGTTCGCAGTCCACCATGGCTTGTGGCATATCAATGGGAAAACATACAAGTAAAGTGAAACGCGTTTTCGCGTCATTTCGGTTGTGCGACACCTAATAACTGAACGGTGCAGAGTAGAACAAATAATGACAACTGCCGTTGTCAAACACTTACCAAGCCTGAAGGGCGCAGATCGGATCGGACTCAGTGATGCAAACAAACGCACCGATACCACGGAGCGCGTGGCACACGCCCTTTCCAACCTCGCCGTAGCCGCATACGAGAACTGTCTTCCCGCCGATCATCATATCCGTGGTACGTTTTAACCTGCACGGGCGAGTCAGCAGGATGACAAAGGGAAAAACAGTCAGGGAAATAGTACCCGGAAGTTGGATTGTAAGTCAGCCAACGGGAGATTTCAACGAAACGGACTTAATGCGCTAGATATAACTACAAAAAAGAACTCAGAGCGTCTCGCAGTACAAAGCATACACAGACAAGAAGGGAAATAGGGAGTCCTAGGTGATTTTGGACGGATCGACGAAGCAAGCAATAACCGAGATTAGGCTGAAAACGGCACAACTTTGGCATCAATTGTCATTAAAAACAATGATAAAACAGAGAGTTTGACGATCATGTTTGGACTGTAAAAGAACAGGGAGGGAGTAAATACATGAAAATTTCGAAATAAAGGTATAAAAAGTAATGAGTTCGACAACTGGAATGCTGTGAGAGTAACCAGAATGCGCTTCCTTGATGGACATAACTCATATTCAGCATAGGTTCCTCTCGCCGTCTAGAAAGTTCACGAATGTAACCAAGGAGACTCAGAAATAATGAGTCCATGACAAAGCGACCAAGTTGAGCGCAGTTAGGGAGCGTAACCGTATCCCACAGAATGGCGACTTGTTTAGTAACTCTAGAAAATCTGTGTTGGCGTATATTTGTGTTTGGTTAGTTACACGTGGAGTCGGCCGCTCGTAACATTGATAGAGCGGATGGGAGAATAAGCGCGGGTGAGTATGCTCGCATCCCTAATGGTCGAAACGAATCAATGAACAAAGACAGGCAGGTTTCCGTCTCTAATTGACGAGGTCAGCGAATTTGTGCAGAAGAGTGTGCGTCAATATGCAGCATCCCGGTGGCGAGTTAGCGATAATCACAAACAAGCGCAGTGGAGTGACTAAGAAAGCGAGTACAATGAGCGAGTTTTCCGAGAATAAAGCCTTGTGTATTTAGTTATTTATTCTTACTTAATCATCACCCGCATCTGCACATCCATACCAAATATTCAGTGTGAAACCGGAAGTCGAGTGCAACGGAAGATTCATGCGCCTTTGCGCACCTTCGTTTTCCGACAATATAATGAAATGGGCTCTAGGAGTAAGGAACACTGGCAAAGTCTAAGCAAGAAAAGTGCAAAAAGGACCTCGATGTCCAGTCACGGCTATTGTCAGTAAAGTTCAGAACCAAGGACGTCGCAATGTCGAGCGTGAGCGGTGCCAATATCTAAGTGATAAACGCTGGAATTATCCGAATAATAATAGTAAGGAATCACTTCGTGCTGGAGCAGAAGTGATAGAAATATTGGCTCAAAGAACCGATATTGTTGTCAGACAACTAAGCTAATCAAGAGAGCGTCATTTTGCAGGATCTCACAAAAAGTGACAGAGAAGCTGGCGAATAATGGAAATGGCTGAGAATCCATAAGATTAACGAAAGCTCCGAAAAATTAAGTTATCAACTGGATGAAGTTGGAAATATTTACCTGTGTTGACACCAGACGAGCAAAACAACTGGTTCATTCCCCAGCTGAAATGTTATCTCGGTGGAAGAGAATGGAGCAATAAAATGGGTCACTTGGAGACCGGGAACTCACTCTGGACAGTTCTCATAGTCTGGTTTGCTGATGGAACCCTCTCACAAAAAACAGTGAGCTCAGTGCACAAAGTTGACATAACTTTAGGTGAACGACGATCCGGAGACAATTTCGAAAAAGGTAAGCCTCCTTCAACAAGTAACGATGGAAAGAAGACAGCTAATTCGTTCCGTCTCCGTGTATAGGTCCAGGCGGGGATACGATTCCTCGATGAGGCAGGTATCAGCAGTAAGCCGGTACGCAGTACCGAACCTTCATTGCCGCGCAAGCATCATCGGTCGTGGACTAAGGATATAGCGAGGGTCGCCCGGTCCCTAGGTAAGCTCGAACTTGCGCCCTCGGATTAGCAGGTAGGCTTGCGATCACTAAGGCTACGGACCGGCGTATTCACACACACTGCCAACGCGCGAGATCGTGATTACCGGACCACACACTATGCGACTGCTGAACCGGTTCTACGGAGTTTATGACGCATCAAGGCAAGGATTATGCGTGATGACAACCAGAAATCGCATATGGCCGAAAAAATGAAGGAGGAAATGATTGGCAGAAGCTGTAATATCCTTGCTATTCCCGTCAACGTCACTTTTAGACGTTTACTTCAATGATTAAGAATAAAAAGCATTACGCTTGTTAAAAAATCATTCTTTTGTGCTTGGTCTAGTGCGTCCTTGAAACAGCTTCCTGCCTCTAGAGCATATTTCGAAAGGTTGACGAATGTACCACAAAGCTAAAAAGACCAAAGACAACCAGAGTCCAAACAGTATAGTTTTAAATTTGGTGATTTTAGGCGAAGTGCATAGAGAATAGAATGCAATGAAGGATAATCCAAAAGATATATATCAGACTTGTGGAGTGGTGCTATATTCCATCCGTAGCCTTTGCGAAAACCCTCGGTTCCTCAAAAAAGAACGTAAACGAGAGCAAAAGTTATTAGTAGAACCTCCGGAGTAGAGTTAATTACGAGACGGTATGCGACCCCAGGCAGTGAAGCGCAATGTGAACAAGCGTGCCATTCACAACTTATCCGGTTTGTTTGTGGAATTCCAAAGCAACGAAGAGATGTGCGAAAAACAACCGATCAAATGATGTGCACGCACTCTTGTCAGTTGTGGGCATAGTTAACTAATAACGATTACAGTGGCCTACAAGAGCATCAATTCTCGAACGCTCTCGCACAATCGATTGGAATGATGTGCGGTCGACATCTCTAAGGAGCAGGAACTTTGAAAAGTCACATATGAAACACTACAACGCTGAGGGTAATGAGAACGCTGCAAAGTAAACATTCTTGAGAGCACATGGGTTGCGCAAAAGAGTAAAATCGTGCGAGGTAGAGAAAAGAAACCAAAACGGGTGCAAATGATACGCTGATTTATAGCGATTCTTTTGAGCAATCGGATCACCTGTGAGCCGGTCCCACGATGTAATGGTTTGAATATCTGGCTGTAGTGCAGGGGTTTTGGCGTCTGCGATTGCAGGACAGAAAAGCACCTAGCGATATATATACTCTTGTAAGTGTTAGACTTCCCTAAATAAGATAGCCTATTATAAGGATAACCAGCGCCAAGCGAGTGGAAATTTGTTGGTGTGTCGCAGTGGACACTTGAATACGTTCTGTATCACGTATACCCCAAGTTGCGCAAACATTAAAAATCTAACCGCAGCACACTTCAACAAACGGACGTTGAGAACCAATGACCGGTTTAAGTATAAGTCCAATGTCTAATTTCATCTGGTTAGAAGCTTCCGGAGTAGAACGCATCCGGTTTGGTGAGAGCAGCGACAACTCCGAACAAGGCTGAGGGTCTTTTTATACCGGTGATGGTTGCAGCGTAGTTCAGCCTGTCACAGAGTTGCGCGCTTGCATGGTGTACAAGTAGGCAAGAAAACCTCTTATAAAAACAAGTCACGAGGTAAGAGACGTAGTCAAGGTACAACAACTGTGTAAAATCGAGCAGTGTGTAGAGGGACGATAATACAGTGGTGACAGCTTCGTTAAGCGATAAACAAGAGTAAAACGTTACTGGCAACGAGATGGCTTGAAAGAAGGTGGACACCTAGATCGGTGTTTCTAAAGAAATACAGTTAAATCCTACACATTACACAATTCGTAATATTCATTACAATTGGTGTAAAAATGTGATCAATTCATTAATGCTGTAATTTTAGATGCTCCAACAACAAACACCGAGCAAAGTCACCGGGTCGGTAAATTTTGGGCTTATAGATTAAAACTATCCACTAAAAATGCAGCCTCCCAATAATCGTTGCGTTGCTGAGACGAGTTTGTGACAGTGTCGATGAAGCAGCTAATTAATCCTACAGCTCAACTACCACTAAGCCAACCTATAGCTATCCGATCGAGCTAGGGTCCGATATGATTAACTCAACCTCCCACTGAAGTGTCGCTAAATAGGTCAGCAGGGAGATGAGGGACGTGCGTCCGCAAATTCGGTTATACGCACTGCAAGCAACCGACTTGATCAGGGGGCAATGCGCTGTAGTCAACTCGCGTAGGATGCGAAGGGCCGCCAGATGATGAATGACTTGATGATAAGAGTCAGGATTAACGTCCAGATATGAATAATAGAACTCATGCGTTAATAAATCCAACTGCTGGATGGCTAGGTCAATGAGCAAATGAGCCGTCATACTGGAAAGCGTTAGAATACATCAAAGAGCAGCGAAATCGGAGGCGCAAAAGCAAGGAGTGGAAACTGCGGCAGAGGCGAACAACAGATTGCTGAGAAAACATTGTACAAGAAGCAATAGAAGAGGAGTATTCATGGAGAGCAATAAAATGGCAAACGTAAGATAGAGGTGTCTAAATGGAATTAGCCAAATAATAGCTACACAGTGACTAACGTTTGGCGATGATAGTTGCAATAGCAGATGTAGTTCAGCTCACAAGCGTCTAGTCTTTGAGTACGCGGATTCCAGAAAAGCGGACTACATCGAATGTGAGTGAAGAATACGAGTCAGCGCTGAATTGGATCAATCGCCGATGGAAAGAGCGCGTTAAGATAAGGGGTGAGTTCGGTGCAGTCCATCATGTTAACTAAAAGGTGTGGTGCGCTCAGTTACCACGACATGTGTCGTCATAATAAGTGAAGAAACAAGTTGAGGGAAAATGTAAACTAACAGAGACCGCGGGAAAAGATATAGGAAAGAGATGAAATGTCTGAGGAGTTAAGGAGAAGGTGCTGTAGGCAAAATTGTCATTGACTACACAACAATGTCACGTCGGGCGAAATCTCCAGCCCCTAAGTAAACGATGTGTCCCAACCGGACAGGCATTTGTGATTATGCACAACTATCAACCCGACCCGAGAGAGCATCAAGCCGGGCATAATGTCCGAAAACAATGCGAGTATGATCAAACGGTCAACAACATGGAAAAGACGAGCAATTATACGCGTAAATGAGTTAAGCGCAAAACATGGTC